TTACTTTATGTGTTAAGTTCACTGTTGAGACCTGCTCAAACAAACGACTCCTTTCAAAATATTACTGCTCATTGACAGTGCACATAGTCACCCAAGAGCTCTGATGGAAATCTGCAGGATTCATGTTGTTTTCATGCCTGCTAACACAACATCCATTCTGCAGGCTATGGATCAAGGAGTCATTTTGACTTTCAAGTCTTATTCTTCAAGAGACAACATTTCTTAAGGCTACAACTGCCATATACAGCAATTCCTCTGATTGATCAGGCAAATTAAATTGCAGACCTTCTGGAAAGGATTCACCATTCTAGATGCCACTAAAGAACATTCACGATTCATGGGAAGAGGTCAAAATAACAACATTAACAGAAGTTTGGAAGAAGTTGATTCCTTCTCTCATGGACATCTTTGAGAGATTCCAATACTTCAGTGGAGGAAGTAACTGCAGATGCAGGGAAATAGCAAGATAACTAGAATTAGAAGTGAAACCTGAAGATGTGACTGAATTGCTGAAATCTCAAGATAAAACTTGAATGGATGAGAAATTGTTCCATCCCAGTGAGCAAAAACAGTGGTTTCATGAGATAGATCCGACTCCTGGTGAAGATGCAATGAAGATTGTTGAGATGACAACAAAGGATTTAGAATAATACATGAACTTAGTTGATAAAGCAGTGAGTGGCAGGATTTGAGAGGACTGGTTCCAGTTTTGAAAGAAGTTTTACTGGGGTAAAATGCTATCAGACAGCATCGCCCGATACAGAGAATCATTCATGAAAGGAAAAGTCAATAGATGTGGCAAACTTCATTGTTGTCTTATTTTCAGAAATGGCCACAGCCACCCCAGCCTTCAGCAACCACAACACTGATCAGCCAGCAGCCATCAACATCATGGCAAGACCCTTCACCAGCAAAAAGATTACTACTTGTTAAGAGCCCAGATGATAGCTAATATTTTTTAACAATGAACTACTTTTTAATTAAGGTATATACATTTTTTAGATGCAGTTCTATTCTACACTTTGACTACATACAGTACAGTGTAAACATAACTTCTACATGCACTGGGAAACCAAAAATATTCATTTGACTCAATTGCAATACTTGCTTTATTGCAGTGGTCTGGAACCAAATCTGCAGTGTCTTCTTTTTTTTTTTGAGGTATAGTTGATATACAGTCTTATATTGGTTTCAAGTATACAACACAGCAGTTCAACAGTTACCATATCATTAAATCCTCACCCTCACTAGTACAGTTACTATCTGTCAATATAGAAAGATGTTACAGAACCATTGGCTATATTCTCCATGCTGTGCTACTGTCCCCATGACCAACTTATATTATGATTGAGAATTTTTGTGTGCCCCATCCTCCTCCCCCTCCCCCACACATACCCCAACCCCTACCCTATGGTAGCCACTAGTCACTGTTCAGTGTCATTTTACTGTTATTTTATTCATTTTGTTTTGTTTTTAGATTTCACATATAAGTAAAATCATATGGCATTTGTCTTTCTCCACCTGGCTTATTTCACTAAGCATAATACCCTCTAGGTCCATCCATGTTGTTGTAAATGGTAGGATTTCTTTCCTTTTTATGGCTGAATAATAACCCATTGTATATATGTGCCACATCTTTATCCATTCACCTATTGATGGATACTTAAGTTGCTTCCATGTCTTGGCTCTTGCAAATAATGTGGTGATAAACATAGGGGTGCCTATATCTTTTCAAATCAGTGATTTTGTTTTCTTTGGGTAAATTCCTAGAAATGGAATTACTGGGTCATATGATATTTCCAGTTTTATACTTTTGAGGAACCTCTATACTGCTTCCCACAGCAGTTGTACCAATTTACATTTTCTTCAACAGTGTAGGAGGGTTCCATTTTCTCCACATCTTCACCAACCCTTGTTATTTCTTGTCTTTTGGATAGTGGCCATTCTAACTATTGTGAGGTGATATCTCATTGTGGTTTTCATTTGCATTTTCCTGATGGTTAGCCATGTGGAGCATCTTTTCCTGTGCCCATTGGCCATCTGTATTTCTTCTTCTGGGTTCAGGTTCTTCACCCATTTTTTAATTGGGTTATTTGTTTTTTTGGTGTTGAGGCGAGTGAATTCTTTATATATTTTTGATGTTAACCCCTTACCAGATAAATTGTTGACAAATATATTCTCCCATGCTCTAGGTTGCCTTTTTTTTTTTTTTGTTGTTCTTGTTCTTTGCTGTACTGAAGCTTTTTAGTTTGANTTTCTCATGCAAACCTGCAGTATCTTTGAGGTATGCTTGTATAGTTCAGATTGATCCATTAACAAAAGTAGAATCATAATGCATGTACTCTTTTATGTCTGGCTTCTTTCTCCCAACATTATACTTTTAAAACTGTAACCTTAAATATTTCATATGAATTTTAGGACTGGCATTTAAATACCACCCAAAAACCCAGTTAAGAATTCATTTTGACTTATATTGAATTTATATATTAATTTGATGAAAATTGGTATCTTAACAGCTTTATGTCTTCCACTCATAAATGTTCTACTTTTATTTATTACTAGGTTTTCAATAATATCCATTACTATAGTTTTTTTAGCTTTCTCTGTAAACGGCCTTACAAATTTTTTTACTACATTTATTCCCAAGTATCTCATAGTGTTTGTTGCTTAATTGTTAATTGTTAACAATTAACAGTTAATTGTTTTTCCTTTCTAGGCAGTCTGTATTTCATCTGTGGTACTTTTAAAGATTTCTATCTTTCACTACAGTGGAACTAGGTATAAATTTCATTTTATTTTCCATCTTGGGACTCTTGCATTTTCAGTCTGAGGATTTATATCTTTATTAATTCTGGACAACTCTGAAGTATTATTTCCTGGATTGTGATCCCCTCTCCCCATAATCCCTCTGTTGTCATCTTCTAGAACTCTGAGGGCCTCTCTGTGTGGAACCCGCCTGTGTGAAGCCCAGGGCCTCCCCTCTGGGCCTGCTCTGCTCACTTCAGAGCCTCTGTGATTCATGCCCTGTGGAGTTTTCACCTTCGCTGTAGAGGAGGTTGGGTAAACATGGACTATGTTGGATGTGGGAGGAAACTGATTGCTTTTTACCCGGAGTTAGTAATCTTCCATTTCACTCCTGCCTTCCCAGATCTGGTGCCTCTAATCGCTGAGCCTGTCTAAGCCCCAGGGGATCCTCTGCCAGCATTTGGATTTGTCCTTCCCCCCATATGCTGAATGATTTCTAATTACTCAGTGTGTTTTGTGTTTTCTAGCAATGCTTTCTGGTTTCACTGAATATGTAGTTTGTTTCTGTTTTCATTTTCTTTGTTATTGCACACCATTTTTGAGAGATGTGGCATGGAAATTATTTGAAGCCAAAATTGCTTTACCATTCACTCCTCAGTTTACTTCCGGCTTATTTGTGCTCCTACCACTGCAGGAAAACTGCTTTTATAAGGTCACCACAGTCCTTCATTTTGCCAGATTCACTGGTTGTTTTCCTCTCTGTGTCTTACTTGAACGCTGAGCTGCATTCACCATAGCTGACTATTTCCATCTTAAAACACTCTTCTCTTAGCTTCAGTGATACTAAACTCTCCTAGTTTCCCTTCTGTTCCTAGGCAGCTCCTTTTCAGATTTCTTTACTGGCCTCTCCTACTCTATCCATCCACCAGACATTAGCACAACTCTAGTTGTTTGAACCCTTAGGGCTCCATCCTAAGTCCTCTTTGCTCATGTGCTATATGCGTCACCCTCAGATCATCTCATCTAGTCCCATGGTGGTAAATGCCATCTAATGCCAGGAGTCCCAAACCGTCATCTCTGCTGATTCCTTGAGTTCCGAAGGTCTATATCCAGCCACCCACTTGGTACCTCCAGTAAAATGTCTGATAGATGCACAAGCTCACTTGTGCATTGCGCCTGCTGTTCTCTCTGGCTGAAATGTTCTTCCTCCAGTTCTTCAGTCACTGGCACCTCATTATCCTTAACATCTTTGCTCAAGTGCCATGTCCTCCAAAGCTTCCCTGACACTGGACCTAAAAGTCCCTGCTCCAAGTCATTTTATTTCCTTCCTAGAATGTACCTGGAATTTTCTTGTGTGTTTGCTTGTTTACTGTCTATTCTCCATATTGACCACCATTTCCTCTGTAAGGGGAGGACCTTGTTTGTCTTGTCTCTCAGTGTATCCTAAGTGTCTAGAACAGGGCCTGGTATATAGCAGACACTCCATAAATTCTGCATTAATTTAAATTTTATTAATAAAACATTAAAATTCTCCTATTAGATAGTTGTCAAATATGCCCTAATTTGCTATGAATAACTTCTTACCCCAAGAATCAAATTCACAAAATGAAAGATTTTTTTTCACAAAGGTATAGCCATACCTAGAAGACCATAGGGAAGCTTCAGACTTCTCTTACCATACAAATTGCCTTAAAGATGAAAAATAGGCTTATGTGTAAACAGAATTGTTAATGACAGTTGGCATTGCTTTAAAAATCTCAGAAAGTCAATACTTGAAAAATTTATTTAAACACTAACTTTTAGATGGCTTTATTTTCTGATCAATTTGTTATATGGCTGGCTACATCATTGAACGTCAAAGTTGTTTTCTGCCAGTATCTCTCTTGGGTGGCCATCTGCCAAAGAGTAACCACAGAGTACAATGTGAAAGTGTTTTGATAATCAGATCTTTTAGGGCTTTTTAAAAAAAAATGAAAACATTGTTTTTTAAATATTTTACCAGTGCTCTGAGTGTTAAATTGTTGGGACTTTGCTACCTTTTCTGATTTAATAAAAACAAATTAAATTTTCGGTTTAGTCCACAGTGCTTAGTATCCTGCAATGTGGTAGGAGTTTCAGTTATCACCTAACCCCGCAACGAATGCTAAAATGAAGAAAAATACCATTTGAAGTATTTCATAGTTGACTTCTTTGTTAAATTTCTTTTTAAAATTTTTACTACATGGAAACAATCCAGTGGGACCTTTCTCTCACAGATTTCCGGTATGTGCTACAACAGCAAAATGCTACAAGTTCATCAGGTGCTCTGCATCCCCAGCTGGATGGCGAAGTTCTTTTCTTGGACGCTTGAGCCCATCTTCTCATCTTCAGAACCCGCCGGCGAGGCCAGGATCGGCATGGGGGCCACGGTGGACATCCAGAGGCAGCAGAGGATGGAGCTGCTTGACCGGCAGCTGATGCTTTCCCCGTCTGCACAAGCCAGGCAGCAACGACGGCAGCCGGTAAGCAGGGATGGTAACGAGGCCCAGAGCTTCTTGGGGGCCGGCGGGAGCTGCCCCCCGTGACTGTGTGTCGTAGAGATTCCCTTTCATTCTGGTGCATTGTGCTGGATACTTTGAGGGGTTTCCAGATAGAATGTAGGTCTCTGATAGTGGCTACTCTGGGGTTTTTTTAAAGGTAAAAAAACAAATAAGAGCTGAAAGATGGGTCAAACTGGTCATTCTTGTTCCACTTTATTAGATAAGCATTATTTCTTAGAGAAACACCAACCTAGTTAACAAGATGGATATTTATCTGTTCTTATAATCTTGTAAAAAGCCACAGTCTCTTCCTGTTAAAATGCTTATCATCATGTGCTCTGGAGTGAAGAGCAAATATAAAACTTTTTGATTTTCCTTGATTGAAATGGAGAGAATGTGAAGGTAAGAAAAATGTCAAGGGAATAGCCAGTAAGTAAATGAAATAAACTGTGTGCCCTTAGCCTTTCCATCAATCATCAGGAAATATCAAGCATTTATCTATAAACTGCTGTATCCAGCAGACAACCTAATACCACGCTTGTCCTTCAGGGGCTACTCTGTGTCAGGCTGAAACCTCATGCCTCACCTTGCTTTGACCCTTCTGTGACCCAGCGCCCGGGGCTCTCTGTTTGTTGTCTCCATGGGCTTTGCCCCCTGGGGCGTGACGGGCTCCTCCTCTCTCTTGTCATCTCCTGATCTCCTGCCTGCACTGGGTGTGAGGAGCAGGTCTACAGGCCTCACGACGGTCTGAAGGACTGAAATCAGGTGTGACATCCCAGGTGGCCACTGGAGATGCGGGTCCCAGAGTTTATATCTGGAGTGGTAAGAAAGGGGCCCCTGATCACTGAGCCAAGTCTGCAGGAAACAGAGAAGCAAAGGTTGTTCCCCACAGATGTGTTGAAAGTTGAGGTGACTCTTGAATGTACAGTAAAGGTACCCACGATGTGGTTAAAGATGGAGGACAGATATCTCTCTTAGGTCAAAGCTGGGGAGTAGATCGTCCCGTGAACTTCATAGAGTTGAGAGATGGGAGAAAGGGGCCAGATGAGTTCTGTAAGAGAATGATGATCGCAGGCTATGGACTCAGCCCTGCATCCATCAGGGGAAAGAGGTGGATCCTTCAGGGAGACAGGGAAGAAAGAAAAGTGTGAGAACTCAGACTGGTCATGTCCGAAAAACTGAGTAATCGTGAGTGTAAGTATTTCCCAGGTAGAATGGACAGAGCTGTGAGGGGGAGAGAGAAGTGGCCTATGATCCTGAGGGTTCTGGCTTAGGTAATGGGATAGATGGATGAAAGCACCATTTCACCAATATCAGAGGAGCAGATCTGGGGGAAATACTTCGACAGAGGTACCTTTGGAATACCTGGGAGGTATTAGAAACGGTGGCCCTTGTGCTCACAGGCAAACCAGAGAAGTTGTATTTCGCAGGTGGGCGTCCCCAGGCAGATGTTTATCCATAAAGTGTATTGGAGAACGCTGTCGGGAGCAGTATCTTTGGGGGACAGGTGGGGGAAGACAGAGGGAGACGGAACAGCCGTCACAAGAAGGCCTGAGCTAATCCTGTGGAGAGCTGTGGAGCTGGGTGAGCCTTTCCAAATTGTCCCAAATTTGTGCATGGAGCCAAAACTTTATACCTCCACCAGCCAGGCATCGGGTGCAGATTGCAGATCTGGGGCCAACTGGCTGTCCTCAGATGCATGCCATCCACTCAGGAGTGTCCCTTGAGAACTATCAGGTACCAACAACCCCAGCAGCAGGCAGATTGAGCACTTTGGTCCTGAGGAAAGTGGGGATCTGGGCAGCAGACCACAGCATCCACCCTTTGTGTGCTTGGACCTCCTTGTTTTATGTTGTTGGAGCAGCTCCTCCCAGATTCCAGGGACACTCTTCCTGGGAGAAACTATCAAAAGGAAGGTTTGCAGGGCAAACTACATCCCCTTCTGTGGGAGCTGGTGTTGAGGCCACACCGATCATCCTCTCCCTCCTCCACTGGCCACCTGAGAGTCCCTCACCTTTGGCTGCAAGTGATGCATAGCCTCGTGTCTGTGGGGTCCAAGTCCCTGGTCACCATGCCCTTCTCAGACTGTGCCTGCTGCACTTGTCCATTTCCTGTAAGAACTGGACAAAGGAGTACCAAGAGATGCCTTAGCAGATCACCCAGGTGCTACACATATTCTTCCTGCCCATTTTTGTGCCCTAGCTTCACTTTTTCCTCACCAGCACAGTCAGCTACCCCTGTCAAGATAATGGCCCCTTGTCTGTTGGTATTTTGGCACAAGAGCCCAGAATGACCGGGCGACAGCTATGACTTAAATTGTAAGGGCATTCTTGCTCTGTCCCTTGATGAAAGTGTTCCCCCTCCTTTGAGCCAAGCTCTCTAAACCCATGGAATCTGCAGTTGCAGGGATAGGAAGCCTAGGGTATGTACTGCATGCTGGAGCCTGGAGTGGCATCCTTGCAGGGTATCCTCTCCCTGCTGGTGCTGCACTTACACCTCCAATGGGCTGTTTCACTGGTCCAGCAAGCTGGCAGCTCCTGGGACGTGTGGTATGTGAGAAGGTCAGTGTATCCCATGGTCTTTTCCCTGCTTCCCTCACTCTGCTCTAAGTGCCCATATGGTCTGATGTGGTGTCATTTTGGGGCCTGGTCAGTGGATCAAGCTTTCTGTACACCTGCAGATAGCGGTGCTAGCGGACAGAAAAGGGAGACAGACCTATAACCAGAAGTGCTCCAATTCCAGTTCACATGAATTGCTGGCGACAACGACAGCAGCCAGGGAGTTTCGTCAGCTCAGGCTGCCTTAACAGAAGGCCACAGACTGGCTGGCTTAAACAGCAGAAATTACTTTCTCTGTGTTCTAGAGGCTAGACGTCTAAGATCAAGGTGCTGTCAGGGTCAGTTTCTGATGAGAGCTGTCCTTACACCTGCTTACAGATGACCACCTTCTCGCTGCATCCTCACCGGCCTTTCACCAGTGGGCATGTTTGTGCCCCTGGGGTCTTTTTTATAAGGGCACCAGTCCTATTGGATTAGGGCCCCATCCTTATGACCTCATTTAACCTTGATCACCTCTTTAAAGGCCTCATCTCCAAATACAGTGACATTGCACATTAGGAACTTCAGCCTGTGAATTTTGGGGGGACACATTTCAGTTCGTCACGCTGCCTCTTCAGAAGGGAAAAGGACCCAGTAAAGTCTACCTGGCACTAAATGACTCTTAGTCCTCCTTGAGGGACACAGTGTATCAAGGGCCAGCTTTGGTCTCTGGTGCTGTCAGTAGCTGGGTCCACCTTAGAAAGAGGGGCCTGTGCACAGCCTCCATCCCACTATCATGGCTGCTCTGTTCATGTGCCAACCCTGGGTGGCCAGTGATAGAGGCTGGCTGATGTCTGGCACCTGAGGTGTTATGCCCCCTTTTCTGTGGTGAATGTCGGTGGAAGACACTAAGCAGCAAACACAGATGTCACACTGCATACCGGTCCCTTCAGCTGTGTCCACAGGCCTGTTCCTCAGGTCTCCTTGTCTTCTCCCTCTCTGTCCCCTGATCAGCCAAGTCATTTACCACTTCCAGCGAACCCATCATTGCTGTTACCTCAGGCCGCTTCTCTGTCCACACAGAGTGGATGACCATATGCACTGCCCCTCGCTGCCTACTGGGAGGACTCCCCTCCCCATGGCCTTTCTAGGTCAAGTTGCTGAGTGGAGCTGCAGTGAGATACAGTCCGTTTTCAACTTTCACTTGTATACTGAGCTGGCCCACCTGGAACCAAATTTGGTCATTTTCCTCCTCTGCCATTTGATCATAACAGACTCGCCCGCATGTGGCAGGCGGTGTGAACTGGGGCAGAGGTTTTGGTGCACCAGAGGTGACATGGTGGCCTGGCATGCCTGCTGCTGCAGCACACCTGTGCCCACTGGCCCTGCTCATGCTGACCCTACATACACCACTTCCCCCTGATAGTGGATTTCTTTGGGTCCACTGGACCTTAGAACTTGGTAGGTCTTATGCTTTAAGGTCAGGCTCTTCCTGTCCCTCAGGTGCAACACCCATTTCTTGAGAGTGCTGATTCTCCACTCTGTTTGCATACCCTTGCTGCAGTGCCCTAGGGGTCTCTAGCATAGGTGGCCTCTTGTGGCTTGCTAGAAACCCCACAGAGCACTTTTCCCCACCGTGGACCCTTTGAATACCATAGGATCTACCAGGTTGCACAACCTACACCCCAGTGAATGAAGCAGACCAAACTCCATGCCCTCCTGCATTCCTGCCAGGCAGCTGTGAAGTGCTTGGTCTGTGGCCCTACTCTGTGGCTTCTCTCCTTCCCGAGGTTGGTCTTGCCCCCTGTGGGACCCCAGTCAGAATCCCAGCCTCTGGACTTGAGCGTCTGCAGCAGAGTGAAGAGCGTCCTGTTTCTTTAGTCGTAGGCCTACTCAGCACCCTCCTCACTTATTCCCAGTGCCAGCTTTGAGAGGTACACCTCTCTCCTCCCTGTCCCCTGAGGCTTGGGGGTGCTGGCTTGCCCAGGGATACACAGTGCAGGATTGGGACTCACGTGGGTCTCACTGCAAGGCCTCTGCCCTGATCCTTCACTGTACTACCTCCCAGGGAGGAGAACTCTGTGGTGATTATTTTCTTTCCTTTTTGGCTTTGGCTGACAAGAAACTCAGTGCCAAGTTTAATGTTCAATTGAACCATTTAACCCAAAGTTAGAAGTTTTGCTTCCATCTTCTATATGTTTTTAAAATATCTCTTTGCTTGCTTTAGTAGCCTTTATCCTTCATTGTAGGCAACCTCAAATTCTGTTACTGCATTTAAAATAAATAAATAAATCTATTATGTAAAAACTTGTTTTTCAGATGGTCATAGCTTATTTGGTCAGAAAGTCACTCAATGACTAATTACTATACATTAGATTGATCTGTTCTCAGTTTTTTCATTACAAGCATTCCAAAATAATGTTCAAATCTTGTTTCAGTGGATTC